CGTATTGGGTGTATGGTGGTTGGTTCTAGATACTCTTGTTAGTGGTAAGGAGATAAGGTGGGGGCGAGAGGACGATGGTATAGTCAATAGACAGGTAGGTGGCATCAAGGAAAGAATAGTGGTGAGTGTGGTGTAGTCAGTCAGGATCGGCAGGTGGTCACGGGCAGGGTAGACTGGTTATAGGGGTAGTGTTATTCGGCGCCGTCGTGCTCGGTCAGTGGAAGTTGTTAGCAACTTGGCTCTAGGGTCTGTGGATTCGGGTGTTTTACGAAGGACTCTGGCGTCATATACTAGCTCTGGTAGCGCTGCCGTGGAGAGGGACACATAGTGTAATGGGGAGTGTTGTGTTGCGAAAGAAATAGATGAGGACATTGTGGGTGTGGCGTCGAATGGGTAGGGTGGCGTCTGCTTCAACCCGGTTTAGTGGTTCGGTTTTTTTGGTACAGATCCTGTGCCAATCATGTCTGGCCCATTCTCCGGATGGGTGCATACATTTATATTATGGGGTGTTAGTTGGTAATGTAAAATGTGTGTGGGTATGTGTTGGGTTTGTCTGTTTATTGAGGAATGTTACCTCAAATTATTAGAGGAGGTGTATGGGGAACATTGATTGAGGGTCGTAGTTGGGTTCGTAGTAATTAAGAAAGGTTCAGCGTGTGAGATTACAAAGGATAGTCGCGTAAATTGTGGTGTGTGGACGGTGATTGTGGTGGTCAGGTTCGCTCAGTCACAATAAGTCGGTGTTCTACGTGTCGGCGCACAGGGCTATTAGTCCAGAGCTACTTTCTTTGTGCATACGTGAAGTAGGGGTAGTGTTAGTGGTTCCGGTATGGGAATTGTTAGCGCTAGCTGCCTGAAGTCGCCTAGGGGTCTGGGAGTGGCCTGGCTTGGGTTTGTGGTATGGATATAATCTCTGCTGTCGTGGAAGATGTAAGGACCAAGAGTGATGGAGGTGTGATAGAGTATTCAATAATAGAGACAGTTGTGTGCAGATGGAAACCTCAATATAGGTCTAGAAGGTGCTGGTCCCTCTATCTAATTGCACGCCTGGGAAGGAGTTCGTGTCGAGAACTGTTGAGTCATATTCTGAGACCATCAGACGGTACAAAACCGAAGCAGGGTCGCGAGATCCGTGTAGCGAGATGAGCAACATTAATTATTGCATTTGGTGTCTTGCAGTGTTATAGTGAAGAACGTAGGGATTTGTGGGAATGAATGGGGATATTGGAGGTGGAATAACATGTTTGCTCTGTGTCAGGGATTGACCCTATTCTAACCTATGTTTGCAGTGAATGGTATTTGAAGGGAACTATGGTCGTAGTTCGTGTCCCATCGGAATCATTCTGCCTTTGTCTCTTCTGAAAAATCTTGTATGTTGCCTCACTTTCCATCAGCCTTCAATTTGTACATTTCAGTATCTGTCTCTTTCCGATATAATATATGTTATATCCTGCGTCTGAAGCTTTTTATTCCCATGTTTGCAGCTTTGTCTTATAATCCCCATGGTGTGGTGTAACCTAGTGAATGCTTAGTCGCTGTGGGTAGTTAGAGTCACTGTAACAAGCCTGCTTTGGGCTGCTGTCAGCTCCCTAGCCTGGTAATTTATGCAGGATCTGCTCTTTCGATTGTTTCAGCTCCAGGAAGTTTTTTTACATATTTTATTTTTTATTAATAAATGTTATACATGTAATAGGATCAAAGCCAATGTGTCTATGTAACATCAGGATGCTGGCAGTTTTCAGGCTGTGATATTGAGGGATATTAATGTTTCTCACCAACAGTACAAGTTTCATTCACTCTGTCTGCTCAAATCTGAACTGCTTCCCATTATCAGTACTTTTGATATATTTTATAGTGAGGTCACCTAACCCAGAGGTGGTGACAGAACATAGAAACCCAGATGTTTTGGTGAAGATGAGGAAAGCAAACCATAACCTTGTGATTTCTCTCTTTTTAGGTCTACCTCTGGGCGCTATACCAGCGGCTTTCACTTTTGCTTGCTATGGTCTCTTACCTGGCGTGGAAGTCAAACTGCAAAACCATCATCAAATGTGGGATGCAATGTGCTGTGTGCCCTTTATTAGAGCAGCTATCTTGATCCCATTTGATGATGGTTTGCTGAGTTTTGACTTACCATACAAGCCAGGAAGAAGACCATGCAGCTAAAGTGATAAAGCCGCTGTGTAGCCCGGTACCTAAAGGAGAATCACAAGTTAATTGGTTTGGCTTTCCTCATCTTCACCACATCTGGGTTTCTAAAGTCTGTCACAACCTCTGTGGTTGTGACCTCTAATCTTAAAATATATTTCAAAAGTCTGGATATGGGAAGCAGTTCAGATTTGAGCAGCGCAGATGTGAATGAATGCTGTCTGGTGTGGTTGGGAAACTTAATATCCCTCATATTCAAAAGCCTGAATATGCCATAGCTCTGATTGTCTACATAGACCACATTTGGGCTTGATCCTATTTGCATGTGTTAACATTTTAATAATATAGTTATATGTTATAATAAAAGCCTTTGGATAGTCTGAACATCTGAGGTGCTAGATCTGCATAAATACGTGTGTGTGGTGGAGCTGACAGCAGGCCAAGCAGTGCTGTTTATACAGTGTACTCCCTATAACTACCATACAGCTGACTAAAGGGCTCACAGGGTTACACCACCATGGGTGGTTAAAGACAGCTGCAGAACATGGGAATAAATAGCTTCAGACTGCGGAAGTGACATATATACGTATCATGGAACAGAGCAGATCTGAATGTCAAATTTGAAGGCTGATGTGGATGTAGGCCTTACCAGATTTTTTCAGAAAGAGACAAGGCAAGAATGATTCCGATGGGAATATCAACACGACATGGAGTTCCCGTTCAAATACCTTCACTGAAAATAGGTTAGAATAAGGTCATCCCTGCACAGCAAAAGTATCTTATTTCCTGATCTCCATCATTCATATAATTGCGGGTCACAAAATGCCAAAGAAAAATGTAAAAATATTCATCGAAGTCAACTTTACGTTTAAATGTCTGTTTAATATGACTCAACATGTTGACAATACTCATTCATTGAAGATGGAACATTGATATACTGTTCCTTGCACACATTTATCTTCACACACTCACCGTGATTTCCTCCAAACCAAGAAGGCTCGGATGACTTCAGGCACTCGTACTTCACGATGAGAGGTAGCTGGACATGGTGCAGGACACGAAACGCTTAAGATGTGAAACTTTGCTACAATCGCATAACAAATAGACTCTCTTTATCAGATCAATGCTTGATATTATCATACACATAAATTTTCACTCACCTACTCCAATATTTCTCATATATTATGGATCCAAATGTCTGCTATCTTCCCCGGCCCAGACCAAGCATGTGCTCTCTCGCTCTCTCCTGTCTTTCTCATAATGAGGTGATTCCATGCCACAGGAAACACACCATATGAGCATGGTAACATTCCTCATAAACACGAGCTTTATGGGAGGTGACTGTCAGGAAACATTCAGGTGTATTGTATTACTACCGTAATTTTCGGACTATAAGCCGCACCTGAATATAAGCCGCAGCAGCGGCATACCACTCTCGGTTCCACTTTTACTTTTGCGCGCTACCTGTCTCACTCTTTTCCGGCCTCCAGCTTTTCCTGCTGGAACCCGCCGCTTAAAGGTGGGGGTCCGCGGACCGGCCATAGAGCCCATAGAGTTAAAGGTGTTGGCCGTTAGCTGTAAAAATCCATAGATTAGCCGCACCGTTATATAAGCCGCAGCGTCGAAAAATAGGGAAAAAGGCGTGGCTTATAGTCCGAAAATTACGGTATATCTGAGACCTATGCTATTGCCTACAAACAGCATGATAGGTGACCTTTAAAGTTATGTATAAATGTTGATTGTGTATATACATATTGGTATACATATTCTTTTTGTTTTTGTATTCTGGATTGTGGGAAACAGTATCTCTCTGTCTGTACACACACTCTGAAAGATTGACAATTAAGTTGACTTAAGAGTATAACTGTTTGTTATTGTTGCCTCAGTTTATTTGGAATATAAAACATTGGGGAAATAGACAGTATTGAAGTCAAAATGACTTAAGCCAAAGTTAACTTTCTGGATTTGAAGACCATTTTTGCATACGGATAATTAAATGAAATGTCTTGAATGTACGGGAATTAAAAGGACTTGTTGACCTTTAAGTGTATAACGTCCATGCAGAAGAAAAAGGTGTTTTAATAAGCGTCGTACCTTCTCGATGAGATCCAGGCACTCTCCGTTATCCATCCAGTTGATGTCCACCCAAACCAGACCTTCCCTGCAGACACAGGACATCACTTTAATCTCTTTTGGTCACCTCATAGGACTAAGCACCGGAACTGGGAGGACAAGCCTTCTCCGTGACAATCTCACCGTGTTCAAATCACAGAGCTCACCTTTCAGAACTGCTTTAATGTGTTATTAATGCTGTGTTTTAGGGTTAGTAGTTAGTTGTTGGTTAGTAGTTAGTTGTTGGTTAGTTGCAGGTTAATTGTGTTGTTTTAATGATGTTATTTCTACTTTGTAAAGTGTCTTTGAGTTTCCAGAAAAGCTATATAGAAAATGCATTATTCGAAGCAACAGCAAATAGTATTTAAAGTCTTGTTAGAATTTGTATAAAATAATGATTTTAGAAACGTTCTGAGTTCAAATCAACCTCCACCTACTTGTTGTACTCGAGCTGCTCCAGGGAGAAAATGTGCTTGTTGAAATATTCCTGCAGCTTCTCGTTTGCATAGTTGATGTTGAACTGCTCGAAGCGGTTCACCTGTTGGACAACATTCAATATCAGACATTTTCACTTTAAATTCTTATATCAATATTTCTCTATTTTGCTTTATTTATATTTGAAATTCGACCCAAAACAAACTGAGAATTTGGATTTTCATTCTTGATATTTTGCATTTCTTATCGTACTGTATGCAAATGAGGCATTATGTAAGAACTATGGTGAATTTAGGATACATCTACACATTCAAATGGACAAAGTTAATACAATAAATGCTTTTTTTTGGCAGATTACACCAATATTACTCAATAATAGACCCGTATTACACCATTATTACTTTGTTAATATACCCATATTACACAGATTTTGAATGTTTTCTTTCCCCTACTCTGACAAACAAAAAGCACAAACTCTCAACCAGAGCATTAAATAAATCCACAGCCCTGTTTTTCTCTCGTCTGTAATAGTTAAATCAGGATTTTGTTCAAGCACCTCGAAGTTCTCGAAGCCGAAGATGTCGAGGATGCTGATGGACTTGAAGTCCTCTCGTCCTCGGATGCGGGTGTTGAGCTTGCGGATGATCCAGTTGAAACACTGCGAGTAAAGAGCCATGGCCATGGAGTCTCTGGAGTCCACCGCCTGAAGGGGAGAGAAACGGTTAATGGACCGCATTTATAACGGTATTTTCCAGTTGTGACGACACTTTAAAGATCTCCTATCATGCTATCTTTAGGCATATATTATGGGTCTCAGATATAAACAAAAAGAGAGAGAGTTTTGTTTTCTGACACTTTGTGAGTTCCCTGCAGTGGCGCCCCCGGAGCGGAGCAGCGCAACTGAAATGATGAGCTGTTGACGGCGCGCCGTGCATGGGGCCGCCTTGAGGGAGTTTCCCGACATGTCGTTGCAGTAAATTAAAGGGTGTTTCATGTTGTCGTTGCTGTGGACCTTAATCTACCTTCTTCGGGGGCCCCCCTTCTGGTCCGGGGCCCCAAGCAGTTGCCTTCCTTGCCTGTTTGCAAGGTGCGCCCCTGGTTCCCTGACACACCGGGGACACATATTTATGTATAAAAGACATCAACAAGTGCATTTTGCAGGATAGGAGACCTTTAAAGTTATTTTACATATACAGTATATCCATTCATACACATTCATTCAGAGGCAGAGGCTGCACACACACACACACACACACACACACACACACACACACACACACACACACACACACACACACACACACACACACACGTTAACACACATCAGGCATAAGGAGAAGACATGCAGGGTGGTCAAATCGAAAAAGGATGTAATAAAACGAGACAAAGCATCAATGAAAAACATGTTTCTCTCTTAAAACCTCCTCTGAGGGAAGTCCCCGGTGCATTCAGCTGCGATGGAAACAGAGTAGATGTAATGAGTTTCACTACGCTGGAGGCGGGTGTCAGGAAGTGGAATGCAGCTGAATAATATTTACATCAGAAATATACGAGACGTGGGAAAATCTGAATGAAGCGGAGGAAAGAGAGAGTGAGTAGGAGGGTTTGAACAGAGGAGAAAACTGCATAAAAAGAAAAATGGCTAAGTGTCTTCTTTCTAGTCAGAATATGCCTACACTTGAGATAAGACATGATAACTTAAGAAGTAACGACGCAGTGAGATACAGGGTCTTGTTTTTACGCGATGCCTCAGTATCTTGTTAAGTCAAAAACACTTTTTACATGTCACAAGGTGTTTAAGCTACTGTGGTGTTTGTAAAAGAGTAGATTAAAAAAAACAGAAGACAGAAATCCTTTGAGCATTTCTGACTTATCTTAGACTTATTATTTCCTGGTCCTTCTCATTACAAGATGTCATTTATCTAAACATCCCGTCTTAGTCCTAAATATACCAAGCTAATGTTCACGTGTTCTTTTGGCAGATGTATTGACTTATTACAAGCGAACACACCGTGTCTTCCAGTGAACAAAGACATCAAGTAATCCAGGAACATACTAGAGATGGAACATGAGAGACAGCTGAGAGAGTGGGAGTCAGATGGGATGTGTGGGGGGGGGGGCAATATATGAACCGTGGGAAAGTTCTGAATGAAGCGGTAGGAAATAGAGAGTGTCTCCAAAAACACAACGTAGAGGTTTTTGAACAGAGAAATCTTGCCAAGCATAGTTTGTCTTATTTCTAGTCCAGAATATGCCTACACTTATAATTAAATATAACTTAAGAAGTAACAATTCAGTGAATAGAGGTAGGGCTGTCCGCGAATACCATTTTTTTCGGGCTCCGGATAATTCGGTCGTAATCAGCAGCGAGGGGGGGGGGGTGTAGTAATCAGCAGCGAACCGCTTCAACACGTGGTATTCGGTTTAATTCACGGCATTCATTTTGTTTTACAGTAATTGTTGGTTTATAAGTTATTTGGTTAAATT